GGGTGTCTGCGGGTAGATTCTAGCATCACATCGCCACTTATCAGTGTGTCAAAGGACATTCAAGGTCACCTCATGGGCTCCCTTTCCCTTGCCTGTCAAAGGGAGAAGATAATGATCACTGCCCTCCACACAAGATTTTTCCAAGCTAAAACCAGACACAAAATCTTTGTCTATTCTCCCACTAACTCTGAAGTCAAGGCTGTGTCCTGTGCATTTATATATTCCCAGTGCCAAACACAGTGCCAGGCAAATTCAAATGTTTCTTGACTGAATACATGAATGAGTGGTACAGTAAAATCTATGGGGCATGAGGAACCTGAATAAAATAGAATCACTAAGAATTTGTCCAATCATGAAAACCCTGATATCTGCATATATCTTGATATGTACCCACACTGAGGTAAAAATGAAACGTGTTAGCATTCCTGAGGAAACATTTTAGAATGAGCTTTGACTAAATAAGGGATATTATCATTTTTTTTTAGACTGTTTGAGACAGGTTCTCACTATGCAGTTCAGGCTGGTCTTGAACTCATTTTGTAGCCCAGGCTAGCCTCAAACTTGCAATGATCCTCCTGCCTCAGCCTCCCGAGTGCTGGGATTACAGGCGTGCACCATCACGCCCAGCTCAAGGATATTATCTTTCGACATTTCTTTTCCTGCTAACTCTCTGCAGCCCATCCTCTGCATGCATTTCTGTTGGTGTTGTGAAGTAGGTTAGGTCCTCGCTTTATATGGTCTGTCCATGATTGACACATAATGTGGGAAATTCCGTCACCCCTGGAAAACTGAAGTAGTCAGTCTCATAGACTGAAAATATTTTTATGCCTGCTTGACACAAATGCCTTTCTTGTTGTGGGGTAAGACTGTTCTATCTGAAATTACTTTGTTGTGATGGCCTTGTCCCATCCTGTACTTTGCTGTTCCGTCCTGTACTTTGCTGTTCCGTCCTGTACTTGTTCTATCCTGTACTTCTCTTCTGCCCCAGAAGAGAACTGACTTTGAAGTGAGATTACGCTAGTTTTATTCCTGACTCCACTGCTTCCTGGAGGTTTGCCTTTGGCTTGGCCATGTGACCTGTGTGGGTCTCGATTTCTTTATCTGTGTAGTGGCCATAAGTAGATTGTGCAGCACTCTCTTTGGAGGGAGCGCAGGTGACCAAGAGCTGCAGTGCCTGCTGGGGTGTCTGCGCTTTCATTGCAGGTGAATTTCCCACAGGCTGTTTCTGCCAGAGAGTGTGAGGATGTGAGGATGCCACTGCAGGTAATTGCTGGGAGAAAGAGGACTCCTCAGATGGCTGACTTTAGCAACCTTGCCGAACCTTCCCAAGACTGTAGATGACCCAGGACACTTACCCATCCTTCCTCCTCTTTCCTTCACTGGGGCGGACTGATTGTCCTAGCCTCCTGACTCCCTCTCATTTCTTCTCACACATGCGTTTCCTCTCGTAAAACCAGTGCACATCTGATTCCTTCTCGACATCTACTCCTGGGAGGACCCGGATGCACACAGTGTGACTATACCTCCTAGCGTGGTCCACATGCAGTGATATAAGAAAACTCTTGATCAGAGTGACAGCCACAGGCCAGTGCTCATTATGGGATGGGGGTCCCATCACTTTCATTGCCATCGCCACTGTCACCACCATGGTCATCTGTCCACTTTTGCTTCCTTGTTTGCACGAGGCATGGAGACCCACGGTGGCTCATCCCAGGTCATAGGCAATTTTGTGTAGAGTGAGAGCAACTCTGGTTTCCAAGGGGGGAAATAATGGACTAATGAGAACACCCAATGGAAATTTATCTAACTTAAGGTAAAAGCACAGTCCAAGCCCTTTTCCAGCTATCAAAATCTGCAGCTATTTTTGCTGAAGCAGCTAACTCCAGATTTGGTCAAACGCACAAAAGGTTTTGTATCCCTGAGATCCTTGCCAGGACTCCTGAAATCGACAACTACGCCCCTGTCAGTAAACCAGGGCAGTTCCTGAGAACTTTGTGAGGGTTAAGAAGAGTGGCTATTATGTACATTTCACATATAAGCAACCAGAGAAGCCAGGTGACAGTTTCAAGGCCACCCAGTCACTGGTGAGTTGGGGACTAAGCTCTGGTTTTGGCTCCCGTGCTTTGGAGACTCTAGGAGTTGGTAGATCTGTTCACACCCTGCTGCCAGGGTGTCTCTTAGCAAACTGGCACCTGGAACTGGCTTGAAAAGACTTTTCTCAAGCCCAATTCTTCAGAGACTCAAGGATCATGGAAGGTTTGGAACTATGCATGACACAGGTCGGCGAAGGAGACTCCACTCCAACTAGGTCAGGCCCTTGGTGGCCACTGGATGAAGTGACCTGGAGTAGGGGCGTATCTTCCTAAAGTAAATGGTCACGTCCCTGAGGCTGGAGGAACCGAGACCCAAGCCCACAGTAGCACGAGCCTTACGTGTGTTCAGTGTTGGGTAAATGCTTGCTGTTTAGGTGGTGGTGATTCTCCCAGGCCATCTCTATGCAGTCTACAGGAAGGATCAGCAAGGACAGAAAATGAACATTGCTCTGTGCTAGACAGTGCGCCAGGAAGTGTAGACCCAGTGATGAAGGATGAGCTTTCTGACTCTAAGAGGTGTACAGATAAGTGGGGAAGACAGGCAGGCTGAGTCTGCCTGGAAGGGGCCAGGAGGGCGTCATGGAGGAGGCAGCTGTGGGCCAAGCCCGAGGATGTGGGAGGTTGATAGACAGAGGAAGTTCCTGGCTGAGACAGCATCTGCAAAGGTGTCCTGCTGGGATTGGAGCACTGCTGTGTTCGAGGACCTGCTGTTCCTTACTGCTGGAATGTCAAGGTGAGGCTTTCATCCACATTACCTGCGAGGTTTGGCTGGGCTGATATTCCCTCCTTCCTTCCATCCTTCATTTTCGATCTGTGTGCAGGCACTGTGCACCACACTGGAGCTACAAAGGGGAGGGGAGACATGGTGCCTGCCCTCGGGGAGATTTCAGTCTAATGAGTGACAGGACTCGTGGTGCAGTGAGCACCGGGAAAGGGAGACCTAGTGGAGGGTGTGTTATTTCCTGTGACTGCGGTGAGAAATTCACTAATTTAAAATCATATGGCTCTGGAAGTCATGAGTTCAAAATCAGTTTCATTTGGCCAAAACATAGGTAAGGAAGGCTCCTTCTGGAGGCTCTAAGAGGGCTGTTTTCCCAGACTTTACCACCTTCAAAGGGGACCATGTCCCTCCCTTGGTTTGTGCTTCTGCTTCATATCTCCTTCCTCTGACTGTCTTCTGATTATACTGGGCCTGCTCACAAACCAGGACAATCTCTGCACTTCATGATCTTTAATCAGCAGTCATCCCCAGAGTCATCCCTTTGATATGCACAGTAACGTAGGTCCTGAGGCTAAGGGTATGGACTGTCTTTGGAGCATATTGCACCTACCACAAAGGAATGGGTGATTCTAATTTATAGATCATCAATATGAGATTTCAGAGAATTTTCTATGTGTGTTAATCTAAGGGAGATTTAGCACTAAATGCAAGCCTGATGCAGGAGGATCACAATTTTGAGCACAGCCTGGGCAACTTAGTGAGATCCTGTCTCAAAATAAAAAAGGGTTAGGGATGTCATTCAGTGGTAGAGAACTTGACCAGTCATGGCCAACTTGACCATCCCATAATGAGCACTGGCCTGTGGCTGTCACTCTGACCTTTCTATTAGGTAATGTGTGAGGCCCCAGGTTCAATCCCCACTACTGGAAAAAAAAAAAAAAAGCTGGTTTTGAAGGTCTGGAAGGCAGAGGCAGATGTGAACAGACCTTAGATTTTTCTAAGTGACCACCCTTACAGCCAGATGTTGTCAGGATCATTGATTTGGAGCAAGGACAGACATTGCTGCTCCTTGATTTGTGTTGACTTCTCCAACTCAGAAATTGGGCGGGTTAACCCCCGGTGGAGTAGGGTTGTTTGCTTCATTTAGATAATTCTGTTTGTCATCTCCTAATACATTAGTTACACAAGTCACACCAGAGACCATCATAAGAATTAGAATAATAAAGATAAAACAAATTGAAGTGCAAGGACTGCTCATTGCTACCCAAGACAGATTTCTGTAACGTGTGCTAGCATTACCTCTATGACACTACCTTGAGCTTCCTGCCTTTGCAGAAAATTCGCCAGCTTAACATATTTATTTCCAAGGTAATGAAGTTGCCCTTAAGGAGAATAAGGGACCTTAGAGAATTTTATGTGTGCTAAAAACCAGGGGAAATTTCATTTCCCTTGGCTTCTTATTGGAAGACAATAGAAGAAAAATTGTAGTAGAACGGTAGCGGTTGCATCTAAGCCATAGCATTTTCTATTAGGTAATACATTTGGGATCAATTTTATTCTTATTATTTTCATATCATGAAACCAGGCTAATTGACATAAATTAGCACTCTCGTCTCTTCCGTTCATTATGGTCACCTGTCTGTCTTTACCACTGATAGTTTTCAGAAACTCAAACCTTTTTTACTATGTCTTAAGTTTTATCCTTTACAGCAAGATCATTCTTCTTTTGTTTTGTGGCAAGATAGACTTTTAAAATTGATAGATGCCCATCTTTTCTCTGTTCTTGTACCTGGATATAAGTAACCAGACATCCCTGGCCTATTTATTTTCCTCCTAGTTGAACAATGTGCCTATTTCTCAAGTATGGTGATTTGTTGTGTTTCTTCCACATTGTTTAAATCAGGAAACTAAGGGAGGAGATGAATTATAAATAACAGAGAGATGGCTTTCGAGTTTGGACTTTCGTAGAAAAATGTAAGCATTTCAAGCTCAATTAATACTTTTTTTTTCTTTAAAATTAGGAGTCCTGGTGCTCAAAACAGGTACCTAGCAACTGATGACACTCCCCAGTGTGCTGGCTTGGTGAAAGCTGATGGAAGGAGACATCTCTGCTGTGCTTCTGATAAGTTTTGTGCCTTGTCTTTATAAACAAACTCTCTTTTCCCCTCTCCCCCCTCATTCCTCAGTGGCTGTTCCAGCGGCAGCCCCGCCGGTGTGCCAGCCCAAGAGTGCCACTAACGGGCACCCTCCGGCTCCCCGCCTCTCCATTTCCTCTCGAGCCACGGTGGTAGCCAGAATGGAAGGTGCCTCCCAGGGGGGCCTGCAGACTGTCATGAAGTGGAAAACCGTGGTTGCCATCTTTGTGGTCGTGGTGGTCTACCTCGTCACGGGCGGCCTCGTCTTCCGGGCACTGGAGCAGCCCTTTGAGAGCAGCCAGAAGAACACCATCGCCCTGGAGAAGGCGGAATTCCTGCGGGACCACATCTGTGTTACCCCCCAGGAACTAGAGACATTGATCCAGGTGAGCGGGGAGTGAGTCAGCTGTGGGTGGCACGATAACACTGAGCCTGTCTTTGGGGGTCAGTGAGTTTTGCTGTCAGTGAAGTTGGTCCTGGTGGTCAGAGGAGACCTTGTAGGGAAGGTGATGTTTCAGCTGAGACCTAGCCAAAGAGTGAGGCATGTGACAGTGTTGGGGAAGAGACAATGACCCTGACGTAGGATCAGGTTGTGTTCTGTATCAGCTGGCTCTGGATCTGGTGGCCAGAAATAGCAGTAGGCAAAAGGGGCTTTGGATTTTCAAACCCAAGTCTTCTGGTACGTGCTGATTAACCTCTGGATTCTAAACTCCCCTGCAAATGCTGAGATAAGAGGGAGCCCTATAAGCCAAAAACAGGAAGAGTTTTAAATACATAGGGATGCGTTAACCTTTCCATATTCAGTGAGGATGAGGTAGTGTAAAGACTTTCAGTTACATGGATGAAGACACTGATGGTTTGAGTTGTTTTAGTGGATTTATGGGAAATGAAATAATAAGGGCCAGAGAGGAATGGTAAGCATCAAGTTTGCTGTTTCTGAACCCTTTCTTTCTCAGGCATTATACTAATGCCGTTACATGCCCCTGGGTATTAGTGGAAAAGATCCATGAAAACATGGAGGCAGAGGAGCTGGGCAGAGCCAGTAGAAGCAAGGCAGAGCCAGTAGACATGGGTGGGAGGGGCTTTGTAGAGGTGACTACAGCAGCAAAGGGCTCTGGGTCACCCAAGGTGGTGTGATGGGAAAGACTGGAGCAGAAGGCTTGCGAAGTCTGGGAAGCTTGAGGGAGAACTAAATCCTATGTGGAGGAGAGAGAAATGTTTGAGAGCCCCGTGGAGGGCCCTGCTGTGGAAAGGAGGGAGGTCAGCTGCCTCTGAGGTTGAGTTAGATGTCCTCTGTTGGACATCTGCCTGGACCATGAGGAATGGGGAAGTGGTGGAAGGTGGTGACATCCAAGGAGGCAAGGGAGTCTCATCATTTTGGAGGGTCCAAAGTGTGAAGGGCAGAGGGATGGAAAAGACAGCTCCTCCAATTCGTTCTGGCTCTGGGATAAGTGCATTGAATTCTGGTGGCTCTACTGTCCAGGACTGAGGAGGGCATCAGCCTGGACTGGCTTATTATTTATTGATTTCAAGTTACACTGATATGACAGGGGAATTGTGATGTTTCTTCTGATTTGGCACCTTCACAATATCATATTTTTAGAATCAGTTCTAACAATTTTAAATAAATGGAAAAGGAATTATATTCTCCCAAACTGGGAATAAATATGATTTTATAGCTATGTCCTACATTTATTTATTTATTTAGATTTTCTTGAGGCGGGGTCTTGCTATGTAGTCCAGGCTGGCTTTGAATTTGCTATGTAGTCCAGGCTGACCTGGAACTTGTGATCCTCCTGCTTCCACCTTCTGGATGCTAGGATTACAGACATACACCACCATGTCTGGATATAACTTTTACTTTGAAAAACCTTTTATATATTTTTTTATTTTAAAGAAAAGAAAAATAAAAAAATCAATTGCATAAAATTTCAAAACAAGATTGTAGGGTGAAAAACCTTTTAAATGTTCAAATCTAAGGGCAATATTTTGTATCACATAGGAAGTCAGTTCTTTGGATGGTCTTGTCTTTTTTTTCTCTTTTCTGGGAAAATGCTGCTATCTATCTGTCTATCTATCTAAATAAACTAGATATATAGTTTATATATTGTTAGTTTGTTTGAGACAGTGTCTTGCCATATAGTTCGTATTGGCCTTGAACTCACTACATAGCCCAAGCTGGCCTTGAACTCACAGCAATCTTTCTGCCTCAGCTTCCTGAGTGCTAGGATTACAGGCATGTGCCATCATGCCTGGCTGTATGCTGCTACATTTTAACGACAAGAATGTTATACTAACCAGAGCCTAATTTCAAGCCTTGTGCCCATAGAGAATAGGAAAAACAATTGTGAAATAATTTTAAGTAAGAATATAATTGCATTTGTACATGTTGTGATATATGACGGGAACCTTTTTACTTCGTTGCAATACAAATAATAACCTGAAGATTGTCCAAATTAAATTTTGTGTCACACTTGGGTTTTCCTTCATTAGACACAGGGAGATCTGGAGAAAAGGGATCATGTCTTCTTAATCTTTGTACCCATGTGTAGCCTACACAGTGATTTGTATTTGACTGTTGCCCAATACAGACATGCTTTTGGAGCAAGACTGTAAAGTAAATGTATAACATTAGTGATTTCACAAGATATCTGAGCTTACTTATGCATTTGCTGATTAACACAGTATGTTTTTACTGCCCATTCTTTGACCTTCTCAGAGGCCAGAGTGGACAGCATGGGGGTATTTAGAGGCCTTAATTCTGGTGTTACTATGAGACATATCCTCCCATTTTCCTGGTTTGTTCAATTTTATTTAATTTTTATTTTTATTTGCTTATTTTTCATTGGTACATAAAATTATATATTTATGGGGCACCATATGATATTTTGATACATGTATATATACATTGTGTAATGTTTAAATCAGTTCAAACATGCCTCTTTCCTCAAACTTTCATCATTTTTTATGACAAAACAGTAAAAATCCTTTTTTCTCTAGCTTTTAAAAAATATACAGAACACTATCATTATCTGTAGTCAGGCTTCTGTGCCACAGAGCACCAGACGTCCTCGCTTCTGTCTAATTATGACTTAGTTCTCTTAAACTCCTTCTCCTCATCCCACCCTTCCTGTACTTGCCTATTCTCTGCTAATCACCTTCCTAGTCTCCATTTTTATGAGTTTGACTTTTTAAAATTCCACGTATGAGTGAGATAACCTTTTTGTTTTAAAGTCTCCCATATTATAATTAAATCATAACACGGTTATACTCTCAGTGATTTAAAATTTTCATTAACATGTACTAGTGGTACATATTAATGGGGTTCATTGTAATATTTCCATATGTGCATGTAGTGTGTAGTGATCAGATCCAACCTCCCTTTTCCTGTTCTTCCCCTCACCCTTCTCAATTTCTAGTGATTGCTATTTTACTTCAAGTTGACTACTTCTCAGTTTCTACGTAAGAGAGAAAATGTGACAATATGTAGTCCTTGTCTTTCTGTGTCGGCTTATTTCTCCTAACATAATGTCCTTCTGTACAACCCATTTTGGTCCAAGTGACAGGCTGTCATTCCTTTTTATGGCTGGATAGTACTCTGTTGTGTATGCACACTACATTTTCTTTATGCATTTAGGCTGACTCTGTTATCTCTACTGTTGTGAATAGTGCCACAATAAACATGGGCATGCAGTTAGACTTTAGTATGCTGATTTCATATGCTTTGGATTTATACCCAGAAGTGGCATAGCTGGATTACATGGCAGATCTATTTTTAGTTTTTTGTGGAACTTCCACATTGTTCCCTGTAATGGCTGTACTAAGTTACATTCCCTTCAACAGTCTGTAAGAGTTCCTTTTTCTTCCCATCTTCTCCAGCACTTATAATTATTATATTTTGATAATCACCGTTCTAACTGGGGTGATGGTATTTGGCTGTAGTTTTGATTTACAGTTCCCTAATGGCTAATGATGTTGAGCATTTTTTCATATATTTGTTGGCCACTTGTATTTCTTTTTTTGAGATGTGCCTATTCAGGTCATTTTCCTATTTTTAAATTGGATTAATTGGGTTTTTGGTTGTTTATTATTTTTGAATTCCTTATATATTAATCTTCTATCATATGAGCAGTTGGCAAATATTTTCTTCCATTCTGCAGGTTGGCTCTTCACTTTATTGATTTGTTTTAGTTTGATGTGATTATGGTTTGTGTCTGAATGTCCCCCCAAAGCTTCATGCAGTCATGAGGCTGGCTTTTAGAGTTTATGATTGATCCATGATCCAGTGCTGGGATTATGTGAGTGCTGCACCTGCCCTGGGGAGGACAGTTTACATATGTAAGGGAGAGAAAGAGGCTGCTTGCCACCACTCCTCCTCTTTGCTCTGGCTGCTTTTACTGTCTTCCACTGCCATGAACAGTTGCCCTCTGCCATGTGCCACCCCGCCTTGGAGCCAGCCGAGTATGGACTGAAATCTCCACAAACTGTGAGCTAAATAAACCTTTCCTTCCTTAAATTTGGGCATCGATATTGTTATGGTTTGTGTGTGGGTGTCCCCCCAAGCCTCACCCGGCCATGGGGCAGGCTTTTAGAGTTTGATTGCTTATGGGTGTGAGAGCTGCACCCGCCCTGGGGTGGATAGTTTGCATATGTAAGGGAGAGGAAAAGGCTGCTTGAGGCCATTCTGCCCTGGGGTGTGTGTTTGTTGCTTTTGCTGTGTTTGGACGCCATCAGCTGTAGCTCTCTGCCATGTGCCACTCTGCCTTATAATCTGCCAAATATGGACTGAAACCACAAACTGTAAGGGAAATAAACCTTTCCTTCCTTAATTTTGTGCATCAGATATTTTGTCCCAGCAATGAGAGAAAAGTAAGCAAGACAGATATTTTGTCTCAGCCACAAGAGAAAAGTAACCAAGACATGTACAATCCCATTTGTCAATTTTTGTTTTTGTTTCCTGTGCTTTTAGGGTCCTATCCAGAAAATCATTGCCTATACCAGAACTGTGATGTTTCTCCTGGTAGTTTCAGGTCTCACATTTACATCTTTGAACCAGCTTGAGTCGGTTTTCATGCAGGATCAGAGATAGAGGTCAAGTTTCAGTTTTCTGCATATGAATATCTAGTTTTCCTGGAACTGTTTATTGAAATGTTGTCCTTTTTCCAGTGTAGGTTTCTGGCACCTTTACAGGGAGTCAGTTGGCTTTAGATGCACAGGTTTGTTTCTGGAATCTGAATTCTGTTTCACCGGCCTGTGTGTCTGTTTTTATGAGAATTCCATGCTGTTTTGTTTACTTTGGCTCTGTGATATAGCTTTAAATCAGGTATTGTGGTACCTCCAGTTTTGTTCTCTTTGCTCAGTATTGCTTTGGGTATTTGGGTTTTTT